TAATTCGGTGTCTTGCTCTTGTCACCCAGGCTGGAGTGCAATGGTGTAATTCTGGCTCACTGCAACCTCTGCCTCTTAGATGAAAGTAATTATCTTGCTTCAGCCTCCCATGTAGCTGGAATTACAGGCATCTGCCCATGCCCAGCTAATTTTTTTTGTATTTTTAGAGACAGGGTTTAACCATGTTGGCCAAGTTGGGCTCAAACTCATTACTTCAGGTGAGCCATCCACCTTGACCTCCCACGAAAGAAAGGAAAAAAGAGAAAGAGAGGAAAGAATGAATGAAAGAAAGAAAGAGAGAAAGGAAGGAAAAAAGAAAAAAAGAAAGAGACAGAAAGAAAAGAAGAAAGAGGGGAAAGCAAGGAATGAAGGAAAGGAAAAGAAGTGGGGGAAGGAAAGGAAGAAGGAAAAGAAGGAAAGAAGAAGAAAGGGAAGTGGAAGTGTAAGAAAGATGGAAAGAGAATGGAAGAAAAGAGAGAGAAAGAAAGAATGAAAGAGAAAGGAAGGAAGGATATACAAAAAGAAAGACATAAAGAAAGAAAGGAAGCAGAGAAAGAAAGAGGAAAGAAGGAAGGAAGAGGAAAGAAGTTGGGGAATGAAGGAAGGGAGGAAAGGAAGGAGGAGGGCAGGAAGGAAGAGAAGTGTAAGTGCAAAGGGAAGGGAGGAAAAAGAAAGGAAGAAAGAGAAAGAAGGAAAAAAGAAAAAAGGAAGAAAGGAAGGAAAGAAAAAGAAAGGAGAGAAGTGGGGAAAGGAAGGGAGGGAGGAAGGGAAAAGGAAGGAGGGAAGGAAAGAAAGAAGGAAGGAGAAGGGGAAGTGGAAGGGGAAGGGAAGGGAGGAAGAGAAAAAGAAAGAGAAAGAAAGGAAGGAAGGAAGAAAGGAAAAAGAAAATAAGGAAAAAAAGAGGAGAGAAGTAGGGGAAGGGAGGGAGGGAAGAAAGGAAGGAAGGAAGGAAGGGAGGGAGAGAGGGGTGTGTCACTAAGGTCAGGTGGAAAAGGTTTGGGCTAGGCTGGGAGGCAGGAGGTGGAAGTAAGCAAGGAAGGAGAGGAATGGAAGCAGGGAGACACTTGAGGAAAGGCAAGAGGAGGATCGAGCAGCAGGAAGGTGCCAGGGTCTGAGCTGGGAGATAGGTGATGCTGGAGCCCCCATGTTGGGGCTGCTCTGAGGGTGTGGCTGCAAGTGAGTAGTAGAGGGTGACTGTGTGGCCACCCTCTAGTACTGAGGAGAAAGGGGTTGACAAGACTGGTGGTGGGAAGAGTCACTGGTGGGGTGGGGGAGTCCAGAGAGAGGGGCCCAAGGCCTAGAGAGGAGCAGCTCTCTGCCTCTGGTCTCTCATACTCTTTTCTGCACAGCTGTTCTGGGACATTCCATGACTGGGGGAGTTCATGACTCTCCTCACCACAGCTCCTCATACCCAGCCCCCTTAGCGGACTGAGACCCTCACTACAAGCCTGGCCCAAGTGCCCAGAGTCACTCCCTCCTCCCCTCCTACCTCCCTGCCCTGCAGTCAGGGGCTCATGGCGGTCTGGGATCCCCCAGTACATGCTGGCACTTGCCTTATTTTGAGACAGAGTTTCACTCTTGTTGACCAGGCTGGAGTTTGGAGGCAAAATCTCGGCTCATTGCAACCTCTTCAAGCATTCAAGCAACTCTCCTGCTTCAGCCTCATGAGTAGTTGGGATTACAGGTACCCACCACCACACCCGGCTAATTTTTGTACTCTTTGTAGAGACAGGGTTTCACCATGTTGGTCAGACTGGTCTCGAACTCCTGACCTCGTAATCCTGCTGCCTCAGCCTCTCAATGTGCTGAAATTACAGGTGTGAGCCACCAATCCCGGATAATTTTTTATATTTTTTTAGTAGAGCCAGGGTTTCACCATGCTGGACAGGTTGGTCTTGAACTCCTGACTTCAGATGATCCACCTCCCAAAGTGCTGAGATTACAGGTGTGAGCCACTGCGCCCAGCTTTTGTTTTTGTTTTTCCTGAGATAGAGTCTCACTCTGTTGCCCAGGCTGGCATGCGGGGTATGATCCTGGCTCACTACACCCTCCACCTCCTAGGTTCAAGCAATTGTCTTGCCTCAGCCTCCCTAGTAGCTGGGATTACAGCCTCACAGCACATGCCCAGCTCATTTTTGTATTTCTAGTTTCACCACGTTGGCCAGGCTGCTCTCCAACTCCTGACCTCAGGTGATCCTCCTACCGTGGCCTCCCCAAGAGCTGGGAGTACAGGCATAGGCCACTGTTCCTGGCCATACTTGGTGGTCTTTAATGAACACCCTCTGGGTGAGTGAGTGCCCACTGGGAGCTGCCAGGCCCACCCCGTGTCTGTGGGGACTGCTCGTCCCCCACCACCTGCTGAGTTAGCTGAGCTTGTGTTCTTTCCCTTTTCTCCAGCTCTCTAGAGACTTCATAAAGACCCTGTTCCCTACCCACCAGCCTGGGGCACAAGAATCCACTCTCCAGTGTCCCTCACCTCTGGGACTTATTTATTGGTTTGGTGGTTTTCACATGTCAGCAATTAATTTCCAGCTCATCACTGTTGCGATGACAGTGCATGTCCTTCTGGAAAAAACATGTCTCCATCAACACCTTGGTGCTGAAGGACCTGAGGGGCCAAGATCCATTAATTGCCAGAGAAGGAGTTTCCCATAATTAGAAAATCATATTCCTTAAAATTCCCCAAGTGCCTTTTCACTGAACAGCCCAAACCATAGTCGTTTTACACTTTGCAGAAAATTACAATACGAGGCTCTCCCATACCCACATCACCCACACACTGAGGGAGCAGGTCCAGGACATTTTCAATAGGAAATACAGTGAGCAGTGGAACACCCCTGTGGGAGGGACACGCAGACACTGTGGACAGAGAAGTGGGAGGCTTCCCACTTTCAGCCGAAACTATTCACTCCCTTACACATATTTCTTGAGGATTTACTAAATGCCAGGCATGTCTCAGGCACTGGGGATACTGCGGTGAATGAAACAGGAACTGTACTCATGAGCCTTGCACCTGCGCAACATGGCAAAACCCCGTCTCAACCAAAAATACAAATATATTAGCCAGGTGCAGTGGTGCACTCCTGTGGTCCCAGATACTCAGGGGGGTGAGAGAATTGCTTGAGCCTGGGAAGTGGAGGTTGCAGTGAACTGAGATCACACCATTGCACTCCAGCCTGAGCAACAGAAGTGAAACTGTATCCAAAAAAAAAAAAAAAAAAGCCTGGGCTTGGTGGCTCACACCTACAATCCCAGCACTTTTGGAGGCTGAGGTGGGCAGATCATGAGATCAGGAGTTCAAGACCAGCCTGGTCAACTTAATGAAACTCCCTCTTTACTAAAAATACAAAAAATTAGCTGAGTGTCGTGGTGGCCACCTGTAATCCCAGCTACTCAGGAGGCTGAGGCAGGAAAATCGCTTGAACCTGGTAGGCAGAGGTTGCAGTGAGTTGAGATCGCCCTACTGCACTTTAGCCTGGACAACAGAGTGAAACTGTCGTAAAAAAAAAAAAAAAAAAAAAAAAAGAGGAGCATAGGACATAGTAGCATGTTGGTGTGGCTTCTTCTTTCTTTTTTCCTTTCAGACAGTCTCTCTGTCACCCATGCTGTGCAGTGGTGTGATCATGGTTCACTATAGCATCAAACTCCTGGGCTCAAGCAATCCTCAGCCTCCCAAGCGGCTGGAACCACAGGCATGCACCACCATGCCCAGCTTTTTATAAGAAATTCTTAGGAGAGACAGGGTCTTGCTATGTCCCCCAGGCTGAACTCAAACTCTTAGACTCAAGTGGTCCTCCCGCCTTGGCCTCCCACAATGCTGGGATTACAGGCATGAGTCACCATGCTGGCCTATTTTTTTATTTTCTGATCAAATAGCTCAGATTGTAATGCCTATACGTTTCCACGGTGCTACAACACTTTCGCATCGTTCACTCTTCTGCATGCATGCCTTTCCGTCACATGCGTGAAATCCCATGTACACACGCCCCACACTGCCTCTCACTGCCTCTCACCCACAGGGGAAGCCTTGGGCATCAGGTACCCGGTCCAAGTGCCCTCCAAGTGATAAGAGTAACCCCTGCCCCATAATCATCGAGGGGCTGCCCCAGAAATCCTGTTCTGAAAACCATGCACCTTGGAGCTATCGCTCCAGCCTGCTCCCCCAACACTCTGGCCGCCCTCCTACCACTCCAGCCCGCTTTCCTACCGCTCCAGCTGTCTTCCTACCGCTCCCGCCGCCCTCCTACCCCTCCAGCCCGCTCCCCAACCCCTCCGGTCGCCCTCCTACTGATCCAACCCACTCCCCTAAGACTCCGGCCACCCTCCTACCGCTCCAGCCCACTCCCCTCTGACTGTGGCCTCCCTGCTACCACTCCAGCCTGCTCCCCTAGGACTCCGGCCGCCCTCCTACCACTCCGGCTGCCCTCCTAACCCTCCAGCCCGCTCCCCTACCTCTCTGGCCACCCTCCTACCGCTCCAGACCGCTCCCCTAGGATTCCGGCTGCCCTCCTACCGCTCCAGCTGCACTCCTACCGCGCCAACCTGCTCCCCTACCACTCCAACGGCCCTCCTACCGCTCCAACCCGCTCCCCTACTGCTCTGGCCCCACTGCTCCAGCCCGCTCCCCTACCTCTCCGACCACCCTCCTACCACTCCAGCCCGCTCCCCTAGGACTCCGGCTGCGCTCCTACCGCTCCAGCCCGCTCCCCTACCGCTCCAACCGCACTCCTGCCGCTCCCGCCACCCTCCTACCGCTCCAGCCCGCTCCCCTACCGCTCCAACCGTGCTCCTACCACTCCGGCCACCCTCGTACCGCTCCAGCCCGCTGCTCCCCTACCTCCCCATCCGCCCTCCTACCGCTCCAGCCCACTCCCCTACCTCTCCGACCACCCTCCTACCGCTCCAGCCCGCTCCCCTACCGCTCCAGCCCGCTACCCTACCTCTCCGACCACCCTCCTACCCTCCAGCCCTCTCCCCTACCGCTCTGGTCGCCCTCCTACCGCTCCAGCCGCTGCAGTTTCCATCACCACCACCCACTGCAGCGAGGCCAGCCACGATACCGCAGGCTGCAGCCTCCAGCGTGCAGTAGGTGGCTCTGATACACAAGAGGCTGGAACTGCGTGAGGCGTCCTCAGCATGCGTTATATACTGAGGATTTTGCTCATGGTTCCTGCATGTTCTCATTGGATGAGAGGAAACCTTTAGGCCTACTCTGATTGGATTTTATTTTCATGCTCTTATTGGTTGTCCTCAGACTTGTTTTCATCCAATGAGACCGTGTAGTTCAGGAACCTCTGTGCATAACCTCAGTATATAAATGGCTCTGTTGGGCAGGCACTCCATTCCAGGCTTTTCTGTGTCCATTAGCTGTGCTGCTAGGTGCCGGGCTTAGAGGAGTAGAAGACGGGAGAGCCAGCTGCCGCCTGCTGGAAGCTGGAGTCTGCACTGCGGTTCGGTTCGCCTTGCTGCAGCTCACCTCACTGTGGTTGGCGGTAGCCATGGAGTCATGCCCCTGGAGCGGTAGGAGGGGAAACGAGTTTGGAGCGTAAGGAGGGTGGTTATTGCCAAAGGGACAAAGAGGATGGCGAACAGGATAAGATGTTGAAAAAAGACGGTGAGGAAAAGATGGTGGGAAAACTATTTTGGGGTAGATGGAAGGGGAAAATAGAGTGGCAAGTGAGAGGAGGAATGAGAGGATGGTGAGGGGGGAAGCAGGGGGTGAGCAGGAGGGAGAAAGGTCTGAAAAAATACGGGAGGAAAGAAGACGGTGCGTAAAAAGATTTTGGGCAGATGCAGAAGGGAAGAGGGAGACAAGTGGGAGAAGGAAAGGTGATGCAACGAGGGAGGGGGAAGAGAAAGTGGGAAAGCAGGAGGGAGAGAAGGTTTTGCGAAAAGAAGGGGAGAAAATGTTTTAGGTGAATGAAGAGGGAAAAGGGGGTAGCGAGTGGGGAGGAGAAAAGGTTTTGCGAATAGACGATGGGCAGGAAAGAAAGACAGTGCAGAAAGAAAAGACAGTGGATAAAGTGGATAGATGGGGAGGGAGAAGAGGGTGGCGAGTGGGAAGAGAAAAGAGGGGGTGGCCAGAGGGAGTGCAGAAAGAGGGATTGGAAAAAGAAGATGGGAAAAATAGCGTAGAGGGCAAAAGAGGTGGCAAGCAGGATAAGGGGAAGAAGAGGGTGAGTGGGAAGTGGGGAAGGCTTTGCAAAAAAGATGGTGAGGAAATGTTTTGGGATAGATGGAGAAGGGAAAGAGGGTGGCAAGAAGGAAGGGGGAAAAGACGATGGGGCAGTTTTGGGAAGATGAAGGGGGAGAAGTGGGTGCTGAGCAGGAGTGGTGAGAAGGCTTTGGTAAAAGATGAGGAAAATGTTTTTCTGTAGATAGAGGAGAAAATGGGATGAGAGTGAGGAGGGGAAGAGGGTAGGAAAGAAAGGAAAAAAACACAGTGGGGGAAAACGGTGTAGAAAAGTTTTGGGGTAGATGGGTGGGGAAAACTGTAGTGAGCAAGAGAGTAGAGAAGTCTTTGTGAAATGACAGTGGTGGAAAAAGTTTTGGGGTAGATGGAGAAAGAAAAAGGCTGGCGAGAGGGAGGGGCCAAAGGCTGTTGGGAAAAGAAGATGGAAAAATAATGCTGGGGGACAAAGGGTTTGGGTAGATCTTTTTCTGATTTTTAAATAAGGTTCTTTGTATTTTTTGCTTTGGAGAAGTTTGAATTCTTTATATGTTTTCTGTATTAGCCGCTTGCCTGATGGCATAATTTGCAAATTCTTCCATATTCTGAATTTTCTTCATTCCGATTGCTTCCTCTACTTTGCAGAAGCTTCTATGTTTAATGCAATTGCATTTGATGCTTTTTGCTTTTGTTGCTTGTGCTTTTGATGTGTATTTGAAAATTCCTTGTCCTAACCAATTTCATGAAGGATTTATACTGTTTTCTTCTCTAGTAGTTTTATGGTCGCAGGTCCTACATTTAAATGGTTATTTTGAGTAGATTTTGTATTTGGTAAGATAACGGTCTAGATTTATTCTTGTTATTATGTATGTGTTGTGTTTTCCTAGCACAGTTTATTGAAGAGACTGTCCGTTCCAAAGGTGTGTTTTTGGTGCCTTTGCTAAAAATGAGTTGACTTTAAATGCATGAATTTATTTCTGAGTTCTCTATTCTGTTTCATTTGTATATGTCTGTCATTCCGCTATGTCTGTGTGTCTCTGTCTCTCCCTTGCCCCTTTTATGGCCAGTACCATGCTGTTTTTGTTACTGAAGATTTATAATACATTTTAAAATCAGGTATTGTGATGTTTTCAGCTTTTTTCTTTTTGTTCATGATTCTTTTATCTATCTGAGATATTTTGCATTTCTATGTGAATTTTAGGATTTTTTTCTGTTTCCATGAAGAATGTCTTTTGTAATTTCACATGGATTGCATTGATTCTGCAGATCACATTGGGTGATAGATATTTTGATGTATTGTTCTAGTGCTTGGACATGGGCGATCTTTCCATTTACACGTGTCTGTTTTGATATCTGTCTCTTTTATCATTTTTATTGTGGGATCTTCCAACTTTTTTGTTATGTTTAGGTATCTTTTTAGGTGGTAGAAGTAATGAAACAGCTTTCTTGAATTATGAAGAAATGTTGAATTTTATTTTTTTCAACATTACTGAAATGATGATATAGTTTTTCTTGATTTGCTGAATGTGGTGTGGCACATTTACTTATTTGGATTTATTGAATTACCCTCATATTTCTCAGATGAATCCCTCTAAATCATGGCAGATGATCTGCTTATTGTCTTGTCAAATGCAGTTTTCAAATAGTTGGTTGAGGATTTTTTGCATCTGTGTTTATCAGGGATATTTGCCTGTGGTTTGCTTTTTTGTGTTGTGTTTTGGTCTGGTTTTTGTACCAGGGCTGGCCTCATAGGACAAGTTTGGAAGTGTTCCTTCCTCTTTATTTTTGGGGGAATATTTTGAGTATATTTGGTATTAGCTCTTTTAAAAATGTTTCATTGAATTCAGTAGTAAATGGGAGACTTTTTATTACTACTTTAATTGCATTACCCATAATTGGTCTGTTCTATGTTTCTTATTTTTCTATGATTCTCTCCACACCAGCCAAGGGAAGCAGCGGAGGTGCCAGCAAGTGGCCACACTAGCTGCTGCCCTTCTCTCTGGCCACTCACACATCTGGTTCATCTCAGTATCCCCAGGTGTCATGTGGGGGGCAGAGTATAGCCTTCCCTGGCCTAGGAATGCACCAACACCGGGCTCCAGGGTGAGCCCATAGTTGGGTCTGCAGCTAGAACTTCAGGGAAGGAGAGGACCCTGACCTCTTACTTCCTGGTTCCGGTGGTGAGGTTCCAGGAGTGTGGCCAGAGTGGGCCCACTCAATGTTGTGTAATAACAGGACAGAGAAGACAGCAGCCTTCAACACTTCACATGAAAATGTGGCATAAGAACCACTGATCAATCCAGTCTTGGCCAGAAAGGCATTGCCATTGTCTGAGTGCCTGTAGCTATGTATGTATGAAATATATACATACATATAATGCTGTTTGGCTTATGGTGTCTAAAATATTTACCATCTAACTTGTCATAAGAAATGTTTGCCTCTCCCAGTGCTACCTGCTTATGGTTGTGCATGACCCTATAAAGATTTAACCACTTTTAATGACAATAAACAATATTAGCTACCATTTACTGAGGGTCAGAAATGTTAAGTAACTTGTCTAAGGTCACACAGCTAATAAGTGGCATAGTGGGATCTTGCAGTGACAGTTTGGAGGGAGAAGAGAATAAGTGATAGACTTGATTACTGCCATGCAGATGCAGGTGGCCCCCTGGACTTCAGCTTCTCCAGGTCTGTGCATGACTCCAAAACTGCCAGGCAGCTCTGTGACCCCAATCTCTCCTCATGAGGTTGCTCTGGGATGACTGCCAAAGCTGCTTTTTAATAAAAATCCTCATGAGAACACTGTGGCCAGATATGTTTCTGGCGTTTTCCTTCCTGTGGGGCCGCCCAGCCTCAGCCCTTCTTTTGTAACTTGGCTAACTCCTTTCTGGTTTCCTCCTAGACTTTACCTTGTGGGTTCACAGGGGAGACTACTGTTGCTAAACCCTGCTGAGCGTCGTTTCTGGTGGGCAGAATTGACAAGCCACCTGCTTCTTCACTACTCCTGACTCATCTCTGCAGAGCAGACACACCTCACTTTTTGGGCATCATTGAAGAATGTTCTGGTAAGTACGTTTCTCAGGAATCAAAGCTTAGTGCTCAGAACACTCAACTGTAGAAATTTGGAATTATTTTGCACATTAAATCTTTTTTTTTGAGATGGAGTATTACTCTTATTGCCAAGGCTGGAGTGCAGTGGCACAATCGCAGCTCACTGCAAACTCTGCCTCCCGGCTTCAAGCAATTTTCTTGTGCTAGCCTCCTGAGTAGCTGGGATTATAGGTGCCTGCCACCACACCCAGCTAAGTTTTCGGTAAAGATAGAGTTTCACCATGTTGGTCAGGCTGGTCTTGAACTCCTGAGCTCAGGTGATCCACCTGCCTTGGCTTCACAAATTGCTGGGTCTGTGCTATGGCCAGGTCCAAGACAGGACCCAACCAAGTCTAGGGTGATGGCCAGGGCAGGGTCAAACCTAGGGTGTGGCCTAGACAGAGACAAGGCAGGCAGAGCAGGGCCGGGGTGATGCCAAGGCAAGGGAAAGGACAGAGAATGGCCAGGGCAGTGCCAGAACAAGGGTAAGGACAGTGCAGCTTCATGGCATGGCAAGAGTCCAGGGAAATGGTCAGGGCCATAGCAGCACTGGCAACAGGGCTGGGTCTAGGACAGTGATAGCCAGGGTCAGGGCCAGAGTAGTGCAAGACCAGGGTAATTCCAGGCATTTCAGGGTCAGGACAGGATCAGGACCAGGACAGAACCAGGTAAGTCCTTAAGCAGGGAAAAGCCAGGGATGAAGTCTAGGGTAGGTCAGGTCAGGGCCATAACAGAGGGGCAAAGCTAGGAAAGTACCTGAGCTGGGTAAGGGTCAGGGCCAGGGCCAGGGCGAGGGTGGAGACAGGGCCAGGGCTGTGACAGAGCAGGGTCATGGTGGAGCAGGAACAGAGCTGGTTCATAGGTAGGACAGGACCAATGTCAAGGTAGAGCCAGGCTAATGCCAGCTAGTACCAGGGCTGGGGCAGGATCAAGGCATATCAAGGGAAGGATCAGGGCAAGGGAAGGGCCAGGAAAGTGTAGGGCAGGGCATTGGCATTACTGGGCTGTTGCAGGGCCATTTCAGTACCAAGACAGGGCAGAACAGGGCAGGATGATGGTAGAGCCAGGGCAGGGACAATCCAAGGCTAAACCAGGTCAGTTCAGGGCCTAGATATCTCCAAGTCCAGTTCATGACAGGGCATGTCTAGGGTAATACCAGGAAAAAGTACAGGACTAGGGTCAGGTCTGGGCTGGGGTCAGGTCCAGAGCAGGTTAGGTTAAGGGACAAGGGCAGGGTCCGGGGACTGAGGACAGAGACAGGACATGTCAGGGAAGGGTGATTTAAGACAAGGGCTACACTAGGACAAACCAGGCCTAGGACCTTGGCAGAGTCATGACAGGTCCTTGGAAGGGGCAGGGGCAGAGTCTGGTTAAGGGCAGTTATAGGGTCAGGGATATGGCAATGATGGGGCAGGACCATGGCAGGTCAGATCCAGAGCCAGTCCATAGAGAGGGTAGAGAAAAGCCAAGGCAGGGTTAGGGCAGGTATAGGGAGGGACCAGGGCCAGGGCATAACCAGGGAAGGGTAGGCCAAGGAAATGGCATGACTAGGCTAATACAGGGCCAGGTTAGTCCTGGGAGAGAGCAGAGCAGGCAAGGCCATGGTGGGGACAGGGCAAGGATAGACCATGGCAATGACGGGACCCATCAGGCACATGACATGTCCAAGTCCAGGTCACGGTCAGAACAGGACCAGGACTGACCTCTGACAGCCTGGGGTCATGTCAGGACCTAGGTCAGGACAACAAGCAGGATCAGATGAAGGCACGGTGAGCCCAGGTCCAGGGAAGAGGCAGTGCATGCTGGGGCTGGGCCAGTGTAGCACAGGGCCAAAGAAAGACCAGGGTAGGACAGGGACAAGTCAGGGTCAGGACTATGGCAGGACCGGTGGCAGGGTCAGAGCCATGGTAGGACCAGAGACAGGGCCAGAGCAGGTCCTGGACATGGATAGGGTTGGGCAGGGCAGGGCCAGAGTAGTCCAGTGCCCAGTCAGAGTTGGGTCAGGGCAGGATAGGGCCCGGGTAGAGCAGTAGTAAGGTAGCACAGGGTATTGCCAAAAGCAGGGCATGGTCATAGCAGGGGCAGGCCTAGGAACATGGCCAGGGCAAGCACTGGGCCAGGGTATGGTGAGGCAAATACAGGCCCAGGTTAGAGGATGACAGATTAGAGCCAAGGCAAGGCCAGGGAGAAGGCACAGCAGGATCAGGCCAATGCAGAGAGGGCCGATGAAGGGTCAGTGCAGGGTGAGGGCAAGACCAGGACATGAAGGGGCAAGGGAAGGGCCAGGGTCCAGGCCAGGGCAGGCTCAGGATCTGTATAAGGACAGAGTAATACCATTGCAGGGAAGGGCAAGACAGGGCTAGAGCCTGACCATAGAGAGGGCAGAGCAAAAGCCAAGTCAGGGTCAGGGCAAATCCAGGAAGGGGCTAGGGCAGGCCAGAACCAGGACACAACTAGTGTAGGGTAAGACTGGGTAATGCCATGACTGGGCCATGGCAGTGCCAGGAAAGGGCAGAACAGGCAGGACCTTGGTGAGTCCAGGGCAAAAACAAGACAAGGCAGGACCAGGATAATTCAAGCCCTGGACATGTCCAAGACCAGGTCAGGACCAGAAGGGGACCAGGACCATAACCATTGGAAGGCCAGGGTTCATGGCAGGACCAGAGTCAGGACGAGGGTCTGGGTCAGGGCCAGTGCAGGTCCAGGGATGGGACAGGGTAGCACATGGCCAAGATAGGGCCAGAGTGGGGCCAGATTAGGGCAGGGCACTGCAGGGACAGAGTCCAGGGCAGGGGTAGGGCCAGGCTGAATGCTGAAGCCACCTTCAGAGCTGCTCCCAGGAAGAATCAGGGCTAGGACATGGCAGAGCCATTGCAGCAGTGGGCCAAGGAAAGACCAGGTCAGGTAGAGCCAGGGCTGGGTAGGGATGAAAGCATTGCCAGGGATGGAATCAGGGCAAGGCGAGAGGAAGGGCCAGACAAGGACCAAGTCCTTGTCAGCATTATGGCTGAATGAGTGGTAGAATGAAGACCATTGCCAAGTTTGTATAGGACCAGGACCAGGTCAGGATCCTCATATTGGCAGGGCAGGGCAAGGAAAGTGGCAGTGCCCAGTCAGGACTGTGCTAGGGCAGGGCCAGTGTCAGGGAAATGTCAGGACCAGTACAGATCAGGGAAGGAATAGGGTAGTGCCAGAGCCAAGGCAGGATAGGGCCAGTGTAGAGCAAGGACACAGCCAGAGGATGGCACGTCAGGGACAGGGAAGACCAGGTCCAGGATAAGGAATGGGCCAGGCCCACCTCAAGGCAGGGGCAGAAATGGGCCAGGACAAGGGCAAGAATAGAGAAGGACCAAGGAAAAGACAGGGCCTCAGAGGAACCAAGGCAAAGACAGGCCCTGGTCAGAACCAGAGGCAGGATCAGGGCAGGACCAGGGAAGGTAGGGCCTCAGAAGACCTGAGTAGGGCTGGGCCAAGGTCAAGGCTGAGGAAGGACTAGGATAGCACAGGGTCAAGGCAGGGCGAGTGAAGGGCAAAGCCAGGACATCACTAGAGAAGAACCAGGACATGGCAGGACCAGAGCAGTGTCAGGTCCATGGCTTGGCCAGGTCAGGGCCAGTGACATGTCATAGCCACAGAGGGTTCAGGGACATGGCAGGACCAAGATAGACCAGGGAAAAGGCAGGCATGGGGGGTGAAAAGACATGGCTGGGTCAAGGACAGGGCCAGTCCAAGTTGAGGGACAGGGAGCCTCCAGGGTAAGGGCAGAACAAGGGCAGAGCAAGGTCAAGTATATGGAATGGACAGAGCATGGTCAGCACCATGCCATTGCCAGGGCATGTCCAGGGATAATGCTGGGCCAAGAGGGTGCAGGGCCAAGCAAGAATAGGGTGGGTCCAGTGCCAAGGCACAGCCGGTGGGGGCCAGGGCATTACCATAGCCACTATAGGGCCAGGCTAAGGCTGGGTCAGGGATAGAACCAGACAAAGGGCAGGGCCAGGGAGGTTCCAGGGTAAGGACAGGGCCAGGGAAGACCCAGGACAAGACAAAAGCAGGTACAGTGCAGGATACAGGCAGTGTGGGGCTAGGGAAGAGCAGGACTAAGGTAGCACAGGGCATGCCTAAAAGCAGGTGAGAGCCATAGTAGGGGCAGGACTAGACACAGGGTTAGGGAGAGAACTGGGCATAGGGGACAGGACCACGTCATGGACAGAGGAGACAAGGTGTCAGACCAGGGCAACTTTGATGAGAAGGCAGGGCCAGGGCCATGGCAGAGCCAGACTAGAACAGGACCAGTGCAAGGCCAGAGCACAGAAGAGCAGGGTTGTGGTGGGTAAGTGCCTGGACAAGCATAGGGCCAGGGCCAGGACAAGGGCCAGCACAGGAGCAGAGCCAGACCATAGGAAGGGCAGAGCAAGTGCCAAGGCAGGGCCAGGTAATTCCAGGATTGAGTGATAGCGAATCCTAGTGATAGGGCTGAGTCAGGGTTACATCAAAGACAAGACCAAGGAAGGAACAAGGATTTTCAGGGCCAAGACACAACTAGGGTAGGGTTAGGCAGGGCAGTGGAAGGGCTAGGCTATGGCAGGACCAGATCAGTGCTGTGAAAAGGTAGAGTAAGGCCAGGATAGCACAGAACAAAGGTAGGGCTGGTACAATGAAGGGAGAGGTTCCCGACCATGGAAGCTCCAGGGAAGGGCCAGGCTTGGGACCAGCACCAGAAAAGGGCAATTTCAGGACCAAGGCAAAGAAAGAGCAGGACCACGACCATGACAGGACCAGGATCAGCAGCAGTGGTCAGGGCTGGGACCATGTCTGGTTTAGGGACCAAGTAAGGGCCAAATCAGGGCTGGGCAAAGGGGTGAGACAAGGACCACAGTGAAATCAGGGCCAGGGTAGGACTAAGACAACACAGGGCCAGGACCAGGACAAGGGCTGGAGCAAGGGTAGGGCCACATAGAAGGCAGGACCAGGGAAAGTCCAGAGCAGAGGCAGGGCTAGGGCAGAATGAGGACCAGGACAAAGCAAAGGCAGGGACAGCATAGGCCAAGGCTAAGATAGGGCCAGGGCAGAGCTAGGATAGCTTAGGGCATGGCCAAAAGTAGGGCAGAGCCAAGCAAGGGCAACAGTATGAACAGGACCAGGGAAAGCATAGGGCCAGGGTATTGTGTAGCCAGGGTCAGACCAGGACAGGACTAGGGCTATGCCAAGTCAGAGAGGGCCAGTGCAGGATCAGTGCAAGTTTAGGGAAAGGCCAGGGTGTGCAAAGGCACAGAAGAGAAAGGGAAGATCCAGGCAGGGTTGGGGAAAGGGAAGGCAGAGTCAAGACCTGGGTAAAGGACAGGGGCCAGAGGTATGGCAGGGTCAGGCCCCCAGCTAAATAAGGGCAGAACCATGGAAGGGCAGGACCAGAGACAGGTCATAGATGGGAGAGGGCAAAGCCTAGGCAGGGTCAGTGCACGTGCAGGGAGTCATTATGTGTCTGGGCAGGGCAGAGGCATAACCAGTGCAGTGTAAGACAACGTAATGCCATAGCTGGGCCATGGAAGTTCCAGGAAAGGGCAGTATATGCAGGGACCTGATAGACTAGGGCAGAGACAGGTCCAGGAATGGCTGGGACAAATCAGGCTCAGGACATGTCCACGTCCAGGTTAGGGCCAGAACAACAGGACCAGGAGAGTGACCGCTGGCAGGCCAGGTGCCATGACAGGACCAGAGTCAGCAGGAGCAGCAGGGCCAGAATCAAACCATGGCAAGCACAAGTACAGGGAAGGTACAGGGTAGCACATGGCCAAGACAAGGCTAGGGTAGGGCCAGGGAAGTGGGTAGAGCAATGCCTAGTCAGGACTGGATGAGGGCAAACTGGGGCTAGGTCATGGCTAGGGAATAAACAAGGGCAGCGTCACAGCTAGGGACATGACAGGACCAAGAACAGGGTCAGGAAAGGTCCAGACACAGGGAAAAACCAGAGCAATGCCGGGGACATGGCAGGGTCAGGCCTTGAGAAAAGGTAAGGTTAGACAAGCTCAGAGCCTAGGCAAGCCAGGGCTAAGGTAGCACAGAAGCAAAGCAAGGCAGACAGTGTAGGGTGAGGACAGTGTCAGGGTATGGCAGGGCAGCGACCGAGATGCCCAGGGCTGGTACATGGACAGCATGGCCCACAACAAGCGGAGGGGCTAAGACAAGGGCAGGGCCAGGTCAGAATTACAGCCAGGGTAGTGTAAGACCAGGACTGGATATGGCCAGTGTACGGAGGCCCATGTCAGGCTAGGATAGGCTAAGGGCAATGTCAGCATTGAGGCAAGACTAGGATAGCACAGGACCAAGGTAGGGTCAGAGAAGGGCAGGGCCAAGGCAGATCCAGGAAATGGCAGGGCCAGCATAGCAGAGACAAGGAAAGGCTAGGGCAGGTAGTGGCCAGGGCAGGGCCAGAAGCAAAGTAAGAATGACAGGCATGAATGAATGAAAGGGCAGGACCAGGCCAAGTCAGAGTCAGGGCTATGGCAGGGTGAGGACCATGGGCAAGTCAGGGCCCAAGCAGTATTAGGCTTGCAGCACCCTGGCATGGGAATTGTAGGGCAGGGCACGGGGGAGTACAGTGCCCAGTTGGCTGTGCTAGGGCAGGACCTGGGTGGGTCATGGTCAGGGAAAAACCAGGGGGACAGGGTCACAGCCAGGGACATGATAGGACCAAGATTAGGGCCAAAAGCAGTGCAGAATCAAGGCCAAGGCAGGAACATGGCAGTACCAGGGCTTGGCACAGGATAAGGTCAAGATGAACTGGGGGCCAGGTCAAGGCAGAGCTAGAGTAGTGCAGAGCCAAGGGAAGGCAAAATCAGTATAAAACAAACACAGTGCCCAGGGATGGCAGGGCAGGGACAGGGAATGCCAGGGTTGGGAAATGGACAGGAGAGGTCCCACAACAAGTCAGGGCCAGAAAAGGGCCATGACAAGGGCAAGGGCAGAGAATGACCAAGAAAAGGGAAGGGCCACGGAAGGGTGAAGGCAACGGGTGGGCAGGGCCAGGGAAAAGGCCATGGCTGAGGCAGGACTAGGATAGCACAAGGCAAAGGCAGGTCCTGGGAAGGACAGAGCCTGGACATCGCCAGGTTCAAACCACGGTATGGCAGGGCCAGATCAGGGTCAGGTCAGGTCTATGGCTAACAGAGCAGGGTCAGCTCCGTACTGTAGCCAGGGAAGGTCCAGGAGCAATGCAGGGATAAAGAGGGGTCAGGGTGATTTGTATTTTGCTATAGCCCCCTAATTTTATTAATACTGCCACAAGTACTACTGAGCCAGCAATAGGGGCTTCTACATGGCCTTTGGGAAGTCATGGGTGAAGTCTGTATAGACATATTTTGACTATGGAAGCCATCATATATGACAACAATGTGGTGTTATTAGTTCAAGAAGATAATAATTCTTGGGTTATATTTGTTATTGTTTAGTATATTTAGTGATGAGATGTTTTGGGTATAAAGGAATGTAATAAGTAAGGGGAGGGATCCCCCTAGTGTATGAAATAAGAAATACGAGCTTGCACTAAGGCGTTCTGGCTGATACCCTCAGCGGGTAGTGATGATTAGAATGGGGATTAATGTAGCTTCAAATAGAATATAAAATATAATTAGGTCTGTGGCTGTGAATGCTATACAAAGGCCAAGCCCCTATTGCAGAGGAGAAGCTTGTGGCCTGGAGAAGGTGTAGTTTGCCTGAGTCCCCCTTCTGCAGCAGAGACAAGGCTGGCCAGGCCCTGGTGTCCTAACTTCCTGCTCCCTGACAGGTGTCCCCTGTCCTGGGTGTGATCACAGGAATGCTCATCCTCATCCTTGTCCCAGCCACTAAGAGAGGCCATGCCAACTAGCTTGGGGACCAGCTCAAGGCCTGGACCTCATGGCTCCGAGATATGAAGGCCCCGATCCGAAAGTGAGTCTGGCTGGGAAGGGCCTGGCAGGCAGGGGGAGGAGTGCTGAGGTGAGGGGCTCTCCCTGCAAGGCAGCCCACTGCACCCTCAGCTGGAAACCCACCAGTTCTGCTTTCTCAGTGCTGGGAGAGACATTTGGCCCCAAGAATCTATTATTCCTGCATCCTGAACCCTCACCCCTGGGGCCTGTAAGATGAAGCATTTGGGGCCTTCTGTCCCCCCAATGCACAGCCATGGGAGCTGGAGGAGGTCCCTCAGCTCAGTGCCACTGCCTGGCCTATCCCCAGCCGCAGCTATGTCTTCTCCTCCCTGGCCACGTTGGCTGTCTCCTTCGCCACAGGGGCCCTGGGTATGAGGATCCCACTCTATCTGCACCATGCACAAGTCATGCAGAAGATGGTGGAGTTGTGTAGCAGCCCACCTTGCAGGGCCAAGAACAGGTGGGGCCCCCTCAGACAGGAGGGCCCCCTCAGCCTGAGCACTGACCCCCCTCAACTCATGCCCCCATCCTCTATCCCCACAGCCTCATCTTCGGGGCCATCACCTGCAATACGGGCTTCCTGGGCATGGTCACGGGTACGGGAGCCACGTGCTGGTGCTGCCTGAGGACCCAGCAGGCCAACCCCCTGGTGTGTGCCGTGGGCATTGCTGGGCTCTGACATCTTCATCTGCCTGATCTTCATGGCTGCCAAGAGTAGCATCGTGGGGGCCTATGTGAGTGTGGTGGGGTGCTGGGGGAGCTGGGTCTGGGCCACGGGGAGGGTCAGGAATGGGAAATTCTGTGACTTGTGGGACAGTCCCTTCCCTAGGGAGGCTCCTATTCTCTGGCTGCCCCTGCATATCTCTGGCCCGTTGGGGCCTCTGGGTGCCTCAGGACTGTGGGCATGGCTTGAAGTCTCTGGATAGCCCATGAATGGATGTGGGCCTGGGAGGAGGGGTGAGGTTTTGTGGGCTCCCCACCTGGGGCCGCTGCAGAGGGAGGGTCCCCTTATGATTGCTTTGCTTTCTCCTGGGCAGATCCATATCTTCATCGGAGAGACAGTGCTATTTTCCAATTGGGCCATCACCGCTGACATCCTCATGGTGAGCCAGGCAGGCAGAGATCACCTTATGCAGCTGACCCAGGCCTGGACCTCACAGGGGCAGCTGGGAAGGGTGGGTGAAGGGGCGGGAGAGCTGGTTGGGAGTGGGCAGGAAGGCAGGCCTGCCAGGAAGGTGAATTGGGGTCTGCGTCTGGACAGAGCCAGGAAGCAGAGGGCTGGGCGGGCAGAGTGAGATGTGGGGACCGGGTGGGGAGCGGTGTCTCAAGGCTCAGGTTAGTGTCTGGGAGGCTGGCAGTGCCAGGCTGGCACCGAGGTACTGCTACCTGCCAGCACTCCTCCCCCTAGGTCTGAGAGTTCATGGGCTCTGCCCCTCCTTACTCAGCCTGGCTGCCAGGCACACCTGCCCAAGTGCTTGAGGCTGGGGCTGGCAGACAGAGGCCTTCTTCAAAGGGCCAACAATGGGCTCCAGCCCAGCCTGCTGGGGACAAAGGGCCATCTGAGCAGCCAGCAGGGGCTTGTGTCCCTGGGTGGGGATGGGAGCACCCTGGGAGGAGCCAGGAGGGGGCTAGGAATTCATGGTTATCTGGGGGTGGCAGGGGTGTGACACTTGGTCCCATGCCCAGGGATCAGCCTGGCCAGGGTCATCAGGGGATCTGGGAGGTGTCAGGGCAGGCTCTGGGGCAGACAGAGGGAGGACTCATGGGTGGACCTTCAGGGTGCTCAGGGTCGGGTGCCCAGCATGGGACAGCCCAGGAGATGAGTCTGCCAGGCTCCACAGCCCCTGCTGGCTCCTGTGCTTTGGGAAGCCTGCCTTGCGCACCCGAGCCTCCTGGGCTGTCTCTCTCTGTCCTCCTGAGTCAATGGGCTGGGGAGGTGGTGGGGAGGTCTGATGCAGCTTTGAGCCTCAGCACGGAGCCAGGCAGTGGCAGGGGTGGGCAGGGGTTGCTGCCTAGGCCCAGCATGAAGTGAGGAGCGAGACTGGGCAGATCAAGTGCCCTTGGTGCTGGCCAGGACCCTTCCTCCCCCACCCCCAGGAGAGCCAGTGACAGCTGCCAGCAGGGTCAGGGTCCCAGGGAAATTGTGTCCCAGTTTAATCAGTGTCAGTTTACTCCTGCTGAAAATGAGGCCACTCTGTTTAACCAGCCTTTTCCCACCCACCCCCACCTCTCCTGCAATGGGGTGCCCATGGGTGCTGGCTGCTGATGCCCACTAAGGTTGGCACTCCGAAGAGGTGAGGCAGCTGGAGCTCAGGGCACCCACAGAGCTGACTGTGCCCATCCCACCCCCGCCTCAGCCCCTCCTGACTCTAGCCTGTCCAGCTTTGAAGTGCACCTCCTGTTGCTTGGGCCTGCTTGGTCTGATCAGGGGTCTGGGGCCCAGCAGTACCTGGCATTCAGTGCTGAGGTGCCCACAGGTGTGAGCAGAGCCTCTTCCAGGCAGGAGCCTGCCTCACCAGCTCCCATCCCAGGCATCAGGCCTTACTTGGTCCTCAGGGAGGGGAACCAAGATGGGTCATTAGCTTGATGGGAGTGAGGACAAATGGCCCCAGCTGGGGTTCAGGTTCCCCTGGAACATGTGCCTCTCTGGGCCTCAGTGTCCCCGTGACTATGGGTCAAGGGCAGAAGCCATGGCAGCCTGGAACAGTGAGAGCTGAGCAGGAGAGGTGGTGGCGTGGCCATTCCCGACAGTTCAGGTCCTGTGAGGCTCAGAGGGCTCTGGGCTAATGGCCTCTAGTGACTGGCAGCTGGGCAGCCCCCAAATTACCTTCCCTTGGCTGCAAGTAGCTGGGAGGGAGGTGAAGATTCCCATTTCTGAGGGGCGTCCCGGGGGGCACAGCAGGTTTGAGGCCAATGACACTTTCGATCTGGGGCAGGTGGCACTGGTTTGGGCTGGACGTGGGAAAGCCCCTGGTATTCAGGGGGTGACTGAAGCTGTGTGTGGGTGGAGGGGATCAGGGAGGAGAGGGGTGCCTGGCAGGAAAAAGCGGCCAGACTGGTGGGAAGGAGGACAGGGTCCAGAGGAGAGAAGACTGAGTCTGAGGGTGTGGGGCTTCGGAGGTGCCAGGTGCTGGACTGGGGCCGGCTCCTTGGGCCGATGACCTGCCCACCTCCCGCAGTATGTGGTCATCCCCACCGCCACGTCTGTGGCCTTGCAGAGCTTCACCTCCCACCTGCTGGGGGACACCAGCAGCCCCTACCTCATCAGCTTTGTGAGTCACTTTGGGTGGGGCTGGCCTAGGGAGGCTGAGGGCTTCGGGGGCTATGCCCTGACACCCACCCCCACATCCTCACAGATCTCAGACCTGATCTGCCAGAGTACCAAGAACTCCCTGCTCTGGGAGTTCCTGAGCCTGGGCTATGCGGTCATGCTCTGCCCCTTTGTTGTCATCCTGGCGGTCATGATCTTCCTCGCCATGGTGCTCCTCTTTCTCAGCAACTATGCCAAGGCTGAGCAGCAGTAAGTGGGGATGAGGGGAGGCCTGCTGGGGAGCCCTCCGAGGGGGTGGCGGAAAAGAGACCTGGGTGCACCCAGGGGGTGACCTGGTTGCTGAGGTCCAGTCCCTGGGCCTCCCCACACCTGTGGGGCTCAGTGCCAGCATCAACCTGGAGCTGTGGTGGGCCACAGGGGAGGGGTGTCTGGTAGGTCCAGGCTTGGACTTGGTGGTTTCCAAAGCTGGGACCCTCCCCCTTCCTTTTCCTCTCACCTTCTTACTTCTTTCTCCTTTCCTCTTTACTCCTCTTCCCACCCCTGGGCACACCTCCGGTCAGCTGGCCCCATGATGCGTTGTGCCAGAACAGTGCCTGGGCCCGGCTCCTGCTGACACGCCATCCTGACCCCCGCCTTTCTCTCCCCCAGGGTGAACCAGCGGGTGATGCTGCCTGCATCTGTGGAAGTCTGTGGTGGTGAGTGCAGGCAGGGAGGCCCGTGGGGAGGGGGAAGGCCAGGGCTAGGTGACAGGGAGCACTCTTCCTCTGGAGTCCCCCTCCTGCCCCAGCACCTCCCACCAATTCTGGGCTTGGACTCTGATGTTGCCAGAATTCACTGATGGAGCCACGGGTCAGGGCTCCTCCTTCCTTCCTTCCTTCCAGGGCTGGGTGGGGCCTGGCTGGAACTCCCCACTCTATCTGGACTTCCACCCTCCAGTTCCTCATGGATGTACCAGGGCCTGGCTCCTCAGACCTTCCCTGTGGGAGCTAGAGCTTCCCAGCAGCACGAGAACCAGGGTCACAGCCCCAAGCCCAGGGGGAGGCCTGCTGCTCCAATGGCAAGGGGAGGAGGGATGGCAGCCTGGCAGGGGGCCCCACTGAGCCCTGTTTCTGACCTGATGCCCCTTTCCCCAGGTGCCACTGAGACAATGAAGAACCCACACTCCCACCTAGTCTGGAAGGTGTCCTACAGCATCCGGGACCACCTGGGCTGCCCACGGGCTTTTCTGTGTGATCCACGGCAAGGTGCCCACCACTCTGGCTGGGGCCTGCTGAGTGGCCCTGGCTTCAGGAAGAGGCAGTGTCCTCAGTCACCCTGGAAAGCTGTGTGTGTTGGAGCTGTGAGGTTGGACAGATTCCTGGCCCTAAGTTTGGGCTGCCGGGACCCCTGGGGCCAAGGAAGAAAACAGCCTGAAGTGGGTGCCACCAAGAGCCTGGCTTGCCACTAGCCTATGTGATCCTGGGCCAGTCCCTTCCCTCCCTGGAATGAAGGCAACTTGCTGGGCAAAGCACGATCCACACCTTTGAAGACTCGCCAGGCCCTGGGCCATATGGAAAGGGAATGGTCTAGGTCTCGGGCAGCAGTCCCAGGTTTGAGGCTCAGGTGAGGGCCGGCATGCAGGACTGCTGCTTCTCAGCTGGCCTCTGACCTTGGGGACATCAGACTCAACCTGGCAGATGAAGCTGGGCCAGTCTCTCTGGAGGCCACTGTCTCACGGTCTCAGGTTGGCTGCTGGCCTGGAGCTCCCAGGTGGGGATTGTTCTGACAAGCTGGCATCATGAGGGGTGAAGGCCATGGCTGCAGCGGCATAGCACCTGGCCCCACAGCCTTGTGGTCTCAGGGTTTTCACACACCAGCCAACTTCTGCAGGGCTCCTGGTGGCCCCAGGAATATTTCTGCTGTCTAGCCCTTCGCTGCACCACCCCAAGCCAGGAAACCCACTCCCTCTAGAGGCTGGGCTGAGCCTGGCCAGGGCCAGGGCCCAGGAGACCATTCCGAGAATTCATGGGGCAGCTGCCAGGGCTCTGCTGCTGGAGGAAGCTGCTCTCCCCAAGTTTCCTGCATGGGCTGAGGCACTGGGAGATGCCAGTCCCTATCACACAAATGGCCCCCAGGGCCAGGCCTTCACCCTGGCTTTGATCACCCAACTCACACCTGTGCACATATCAGGATGCAGCTGCCAATGTCACACCCAGCCCCAAACCCCTTTGGGGGACTTAGTCCCTGTGTCACACACTCCCTGCACATTTGCTGCCATCAAGGCGGTGCTGGTGTCTGGGGCCCAAGGGGCCAGTTAGGAGACTCCAAGAGCTGGCTTGGACAATGCTCTTTTCACCCCCTAGTTACTGGCTGGCTGTGGCTTCAGTGGGTGTAAGCTAGTGGAATACCCACCCACCAAGCTCTGGGGTACCCGGGGAGGCCTGACAGGGTGGGCTGGTACCCCACAAAGCCCAGCCTCCACCCCAGCCTCAGCCAGGGACCCAGTGATGTTCCTTGTCATACAAGAATAAGTCCAACTGTTGCCTCTTCCTTCCAGAAGCCAAACTGCTCCTTTATTTTTTAGAGCTGCTGATTGTGAATCTCAGAGTCTTAGGAGAGAAGCCAAAATATATTCCTCTTGTAAATGAAGAAAATAAACCTATTTAATCACCCCCTGTGGCTCCCTCAGCAAAAAAGCCTGGGGTGGGTGGTGCAAGAGATGGTCACACCTGTACCCAGCCTGCAGCCAGCATGTCACCCTGTACACACCCAGGTGAACCCCAGAGCCCCTGGACCTGGCCCACAGGGCCCTGAAGCCACAGTCCCAGCCTAGAACCAGGGGGGGGTGTCTCTGCATCCTGGGACCCCTGCAGGAACGGCTTGGGCTGTGCTTACCAGAGCAGGATGCCTGGGCAGGCAGTGACACCCTCCCTGGGGACAGAGCCTTAGAAATAGCTTGCATATTCAAATCATGGTGGAAAACAGGATTATTGGGCAGATGGAGGCTGAGGGTGGCCTGCACTCGGCTTCCCCACCTTCCTCAGCTGCGTTTTCTTCTTGGTCCCACTCTGGAGCAGGCTGGGGCTCCTGATGACCAAAAGGTGGCCTTGCCTTTTTCTGTGCCAGTGTGGATGGTGGTGATTTGTCCAAGACCCCTTTTTGAGAATGGCCTCGTGGTGCTGCTTTGGCCTGCAGGCTTCATCGGGGAGTTGGGAGCTCCATTCACCTTGGACAGCTTCCGGTTTTTTTTTTTCTTCTGCAGTTTTGTGGACTTGGCAGCAGTGTTGGGGCTCAGGGTGGGAGCACCAGGGGCTGGGCCCTTGGTGGTAGGCATCCCGTTCACCTGGTCTAGACCTTGCCCTTCATCCTGTTCATCTTGCTGCATGTGCCAGCTGGCTCCCACCAGTGGCTGCAAGTGTGCCATCCTCTGACATGTTTCTTGTGATTGTCTCTGGCAAGAATCCCTTTTTCTGCTGCTTCCTGCTGACGGGGCTCTGGGTGGCACTGGGGATCTCCTTGGTATCGTTCTCCAACTTGGGGTGCCTGAAGGGGAATAAGCAGGTAAAAAGGTGCCCAGTGAGGGCAGCAGCCACCTCCACCCGGGTCCCGTGGGGTTCCAGAGGCCCAGGGCTCCCATATCTGAGTGTGCGCAGCAGTGTGAGGGTGATCCTAGCCCTGCCCAAGTGTGCATCCCCTGCCCAGAACCTACTGGACTCCCAGGTTTTTTCATGGCCTGCCAGTAGAGGTCAAGTAGGCAACTGGAGCCGGTGGAGTGCACCCCCTGCCGCAGGCCCTGCTGCTGCCCCTGCAGCATGCCCAAGAGCACTGTCAGGTCCAAGGTCAGCTTCTGCAGAGGATGTGAAGGCAGGGCGGTGGTGGCCACAGGGGCAGGCCTCTCTGGGGCTCCTGGTGGTCTTCCCACCTTGGCCCCATTGCTGTCTCACCAGCAAACCCTGAAGTCTCCTGGGCCTCAGCCTCTCCTGCCTGTTAAGGCATCCGTGTCTGTCTCACCATTGGAGGAAACATGTGCCCAGGTGTGGTTCTCCTCCTCCCCACAGCTGCAGGCCTGGTCTCAAAGTCTCCACTGTGGCCCTGGTGCACCCACCTCCAGGAGGGCCATCCCCCACCACTCCATCACCATGGGGCTACCAAAGCCCTTCCCCCAGCTTCCCTGCACCTACTGAATGGGTTACTGTTGGAATCCGCTGGCTTCCCAGGAACCCCACCTCTCCTGGCTTCCTCGCTATCACCCAGTTTTGCAAGGCCCCATCCCGGGCCCCCACCTCTGCCTGCTGGTGCAGCCTTGGCAAGCTCTCCCTCCATAAGGGCTGACTGGCACCTATGCTGAGGCCTCCCCGAAACCTTGCCCTCTGGGCCAGGACTAGGGGACTGAGATGACCACCTACAGCTGCCTCCCAGCCCTGCCGTGTGGCTGCCCAACATGTCACATTCCAACCGTCCACACCCTGCACAAGGCCTGGAACATGGCCTCCCTAACATATGTCTGCCCTGAGTCTTCTCCCATCTTTCACCGTCTCCAGCCCTGCCAACCCCTTCTCAGCTTTCTCACTAGACATGGCAGTGCCACAACCCTTGCACCCTGTCCTGCAGGGCAGGGTGGCACAGTCCCTTCCCTAGTCACTTGCCCATCCACAGCTCTGTAACTGCCCAAATGACAGCCCAGAGCCCCAACCAAGGCACTGAGAACCTTCCCCACATGACCCCTGCCCCCAAGGTCTGGCCCGGGTAATGGCACTGATGCCAGGAGGCCCTGAGGCCCCCAGGAGGAACCCGACATTGCCCTGGGCTGGGCCCCACCTCACCTCATGTTTACAGGTCCTGAAGACAGTACTGAGCAGCTCCAGGGAGGACAGCACCTGCTGGTGCTCTGCCTTGGTCTGCACAGGTTCTGGGGAGGGGTGGCCAGGCTGAGGTACTCTGGAGGGCTGTCAAAGCCTTTGTTTCCCAGCAGGGACTAAAGCCCATAGGCAGGGACCATCTCCTGGGACAACCCCAATTCCCTGTCTCCCCGCCCCCCACACTCTGGAGGCTCAGGCTCCAATCCTGGCTTTGTCCTCTCCCAGAGAACCGATCCTGAGCAGGCCAGGAGGAAGGGTGCCTCCCGGCTATTACCTCCATGACCTTTGGCAGGACCTGGCTGATCAGCTGCTTCTGCTCCGAGTCCTGGAAGCACGACCTCACCTCCCGCATGGACAGGGTCTTCTGGAGAATCAGGCAGGCTTGTGCCTGTGGTTGTGTGAAGGTGGGTGCCTGGAGCCTTAGCACATTGGGTAGGAGAGGCTTAGGGGGTGAGGGGCCTGCCAGTAAGGGCTGTGGGTGGCATGCAAGGCCACCTGCTTCTCTGGACTCCATGACCACCTGCTCTTGTGCCTTCATGTACAGGTGGGGCACCGAGGCCTCCCAGCTGGATAGAGGTGGGAC